CATTATACAAAGTACAAACAAGAATGAACAAATAGCAAGAAAAAGACATTTAGTGACACCTGGTAAGAATAAAGAAAAAAAAACATAGATAAATCTCTCAGCCCAACTCACCTCACAGGGTTGTTGTTGTGGAGGAAATAGGAGGCAGGAGTATTAGGTATGTTCATCACCTTTAATTATTTATATTATATCTATATATAATATAGGTGGAATATAATTATCATCATAATAATAATATAAATCTAGTTTATACCAACACCATTCATTGTGTCTCCATACCTTTCCAACCTTGTCAATCACCTTTGCTGCCATCATATCTATACACTGCTTCATACATGCTTGCTCTTTAATTTCTTACCTCTTTCTCTGTTTTAGGATCTCATCACCTCTATCCTCTATCCAACCACAACTTTCTTCCTCTTTCCTTCCTCTCAGTCTATTCATTCTTCCTTTATAAGTTTGTTTTTTCCATTTGTTCATTATTTATTCTGAGTATTATAAAAAAAAACCCTTAAAGTACATTTTTTACTTTTTATTGACTCCACATTCCTCTATCATCCATTCCTTCTTGAGCCTATCTTTTCTTGTTTTATCATACATTTTCCCACTGCATTCAACTTAATTTTATGTTTCTTTTGATACATCTAACATTCCCATACAACGAAGTGAGCATGCTGTTATACACAGACATTTGTACTCCTTTTGATGAATTTTTATTCCTTGAAACAGACTATATAATTGTATTATAAATTAAAATAATATAAAATATAATATGCACATAATTTTATAATAAATTTCTCCATTTTTAATAAATATTGTACGAAGTACACAAAGTAATATACTTGTATGAGTTTTTCCCCATTTATGCATATCTTGCAATTGTTCACTCAATTATCCCTGACAATTCCAACTTTCTTCATCTTTGATACAGTAAATGTCAGATTGCTGCTCCTCATTGGATCATACAACGTATCCAACATTTGCTGCAAGTTGTTCAAGTTCTCATACAACAATGCAGCCATGTCTGCGTACAAAAGTTTACAAGATCAGATTACCTACATCCAGATCTCTTACAAATTGCCTTTCCTCTTGTTTTCAAGAAACACAACTATTCATTTTTCTTTAATTTCATTCATTCATGCTCATTACATGTTAAAAGTCACAATCTTCCATATGCAACTCAGTTCAAATATCTGAGAAGGAGTTCTAAGCCTCTTTGCTGATAAACCGACATCTTTTGGGTTGATGGGGCCAGAGTTTGCATGAGCAGGTCAAGTGAACGCCCAAGCAGGACTTGGGTTTTTTTAAAACCTTAGGATCTGATTGAGTGAACAAACAGCAGACAGGAAGTGGCAATCTTAGAACCTAGACAAAGCCTGAATTGTATTTCAAATTTGGGGAGCAGGTTATGAGCATTCTCATAAAATGACTGTGATGATGAACATGACCAGGCACAAAAGACCCATTTAGTAAAAGGCAAACGATGAGCCCCACCACTCCCTTAGCCTCTTACAATACTGTAAACCACCTCTGTCTCTGTCTGTCTGTCTGTCTGTCTGTGTCTCTCTCTCTCTC